GCGCTCCGTTGTCATTGGCGCCGCACCCGGAAGAGCCGCTGGCGCCTGCGCGGTGGGGCCGCCGGGCTGCCCCCTTCCCCAGAGGAGATGGAGGCGGCGGCGCGGCGGCGGCCGCGGGAGCAGGAGCGCCAGGAGCAGGACGATGGTGGGCAGGTGCTGTCACGATCACTGTCGGGACAGTCCTACTGGCTGGACCTGTGGCTCTTCATCCTCTTCGATCTGGCGCTTTTCCTGTTTATCTACTTGCTGCCCTGAGGGCGCGGCCCAGGTGAGGAGCGGCGGTCGGTCGGCCCCGAATGGCTGTGCCCCGTGGAGGAAAGGTCCGATTCAGGAGCGGGCCCTTGGGAGTAGCCTTGACATTCCCACAGTCCCACCTCAGAAGGCCTCGGGAGCACAGATGCCTCTCAGGAAACTGGAAACTAATTCCAAACAACCCCCAGCTTTGCTTATTTGTTTGCGAGGTTTATTACGCGCTCTTTGTTCAGGAGGTGTGATTGAGGCTCCTTCCATGTCAGTATCTTCCAAGGGGCTGTGCAGCACTACGAACGTAACCAGGCCTTTTCTGTTCCCCGTAGGGCCATTGCCGCAGAGGGAATTCTCACCTATTTCGCACCTTATGAACACAGGCGGTGGAAGAGGAGAACCATTCGTGCGGGATAAGCAACTGGGAACACGGCTCCGCTTGAGTCTCGATGGAGGAGGCACATTTTTATACCGTTCCGTGATAGATCTCTGCATGTCACAAGTGTTGCTGTTCAGATTTTACCTGTATCCCGTTCCTGTGTCCTAAACAGTGCCTTAAGGGTCACGTACGACAGATTGACTGTGCTTTTGTGATTAGTACCTAAAGATTTGGCTTGCAGAAAAATGGAAGTATGCAGTGTTTGAATAAAATCCACGGAAAGGACACCCTGCAGAGTGGCTGAGAATAAAACACAGCTCTTGCGTACACTGAAGTTGTAACTCAGACTGTTCCCTCAACGGGTGAAGCTTAGCCAGCTGTTCTACTTCCAAAAAGTTAAGCCTGATGGGTTGATGGTCATTGGTTTTCTATTATACCTTTCTCTGCTTTTCTTTCTTTACCTTCAGCAATTACTGAGCCCTCTCAGGCTCAGTATTTACAGATATTAATATATACGTGTATAAACATGTCAGTGTTCTAACCCAGCAGCAGTGTCCTGTCCTCACTGATTAAGAAAAATCAGGTTCTCATTTCCTTGCTAGAAACTGTGAAGGAGGAGCTTACAAGAGCAGCCTTGAGTCACTGGCAGATGACACGTAAAGATCCCTCCTCATGGATGGCTACAAGTAGTCAGTGACAGGTAATTAAAAGGTTTCAACATCAATTTCCTCTGTTTCAATAGAGGGAGACTTGCAAACCTGTGTTAAAGGCAGGAGTCTCTTGCAGCCTTTGGAGAAAGAGGACATGGAGTGAGCTTTTTGCCAGGACAGGGTTGGGGGGAGACAATTTGCAAGCTATGGATGAAGGGGGTTCAGTTTTCTTTAGCATTGTTGCCCTGGCAATGCTAATTTCTAAATCTAAGAAGTACAATCCATGCTTGGTTGAGGTTTTTTTTCAGGAGCACATACAACAAAATAACTAGATTGCAGAGACTTGGAAGTGCAGAGTGGTGCAGTGTTTTCCCATACAATAAATTAAAATGGGCCAGGATGAGGTTAAATAGGATTTGGGATGCAAAAATAGACAGATGCTCTTCCCATGTATTTTTATTTGACTGTTAAGACAATTTTGCAAGTGGCAGTGGTTGGTCTCATGAGTCAGAGCTGTGCTGTAAGAACAGAGATGCTGTGCCCTGCTGGCATTTATCACCTTGGCTGCTGGTTCCTTTGAGATCAGTGGTGGCAGAGATCTCTCAAGGAGCACAGGAGCCCTGAGCTGTGATTGCATTCTCACAGACACCAGAATGGGCATTGCAGTTTTTCAGATGAGGCCATTAAAGAGCTCTCTACATTCACTACCTGTTATTACCCTTCCTCTGACACGATATCACAAGTGAAAGCGCCCAGGGACCAATCTGTCAGGAAAGGATTGCTATGTTGCTCCATTTCTTTTTTGATAAGGAAGAGAGGTGAGACTTAAAGGCTATTAAGGCTTACAAAGTTGAATTTCAAGCTATCTTCCACTAATTTAGTTTTCTCCTTGAGCCAGATCTGGCATTAAAGGTTTTGCTTATTTCAGAAAAATTGAGAGCTAACAAAGTACAGCCTTGTGCTGCACTGGGCCCCAGCTATTCCATAGGCACATGGAACTCCTAAGTACACACATCCAGGCAAATTTTGCTTGTCCCTTGTAAAGATGGTAAAGTAGCTCATATATCTGTCAGTCACTTGTCACCAAGTCTGTGGGATTATGGTATAAAAATGAGTTTATGCATTTCATAGCTATTTTAAAAGTTAAATCTATTTAATAGCTTTATGAACAAATACTTCAGAAGATGAATTTTACTGTTCAGAAAAGGTAACCAAACCACCATCCCCACAAAAACTTTCAACCATCAGTAGCAGCATTATCTGTTAGGTTAAAAACATACCTCTGGAAAACCAAGTTTTTGGTTTGTTTTTTTTTAAACATGGAACACAAAAAGAACAGACAACAAAGATTTTAAATGTTTATCTTGATATTTTGAACAAGTAGAACTTTGCAAGTAAATAATTCTAAAGACTGAAAAATATATTAATTACAAGACTTGTTAATATCTTTACTGTTACAAAAATTGTCTAGGCTCTTATACAAATCTATAGCTGGAGGGGGACATTTATAAAAAAATAAATAGGCACCCTAGGTAAGTTAAAACGAGTTATCACATATTAGTTAGCAAATATTACATACATACATACATGGAGTGCAGAGTCAAATATAAAAATGAAGGTGCCTTGATTAGCTGTCTATTTTAATAATCATGAAATACCTGGTAAACGTGGGTCACAGAGGAAGCTGGCTGGTAGCATTGTTCCAAGCTAAGCAAGGAGACTGAAGTACACCTAAGTCACTGCAGCTACTTGAGAGAGGAGTTTACCAGTTGTGCTTACTGGGAGCAGAGCTCATTGGTATCAGTAAGAGGCATTCATATTGCTCGTGGTACAGAAGTATCAACATTGCTATGCATGTTTAAAAATAAGTGTTCTAACATCATTCACAGTTCTTGCTGTGCTATCCATACATAAAAATACTGTCATTTCAAATACAAGATTTTTTTTTTGTTCGTTTTTCTGCAAAACATTTTACAAATTATACATTATTTACAAATTGCAATAATCTTGGTTTTTACACAGGTATTAGAGGACAGTTGTACTTAACTGGCTATATATATTATGTAACATGGCAAGATGAACTAGAAAAGTTTAATTTACAGGTTCTGAAATCTCTCTTAAAAATATTACAATAGGAATCACCGAAGTTCTTGCATTTTTAGTGTTCTTCTGTATTCATCTGATTTTCTTACAAAAGGATCATTGTTTAAGTTGCTGTTTACTAGCAGCCATACAGAAACATGCATAGTATTTTCACTATAAATTCTAGAATTCATTTTTTTCCCAAAGTGCTACAACAAATTTGATCAAGAAGGTAGAAGGAAGGTTAATCTGAGATACCTGGTTTGTTGCATATATATATAATGTTCCAGTTCTACTGAAAGGTACATGTTATTTAAAAGAAAAAAAAGCTGGCCTGGCCACAGAAATAACCAAAACTATTGTTTAAATGTTTATCTTGGATAATTGTGCTAAACAATTGCCATCATTTGGTTGAAACCCTAAAACACATGTACATAAGGTTATAAACATGAAAAAAAGCCTTTCTGACCAGCAGTGCAAGTAAGAGTGTTTAGTATGCATATTTTACCTTCTTGCATTATTTTCATAATAAAAGGCATTCATGTTTAGATGTAATCAGCAGCACCCCAAGTTAACACTCTAATGTGAAAAATGGAAAAATTTTGCCTTTTTAGGTGGTGTCAGGCTTGGCTGACGCTGCCTCAGTACTCACTAGATGGTTCTGGGCACTGATTTAACTAACCAAATAAAAGTCAACTGAATCTTCCTCCTGGTTATTGAGATAAATCAGGTTAACAAAAGACATGGTAAATTCCAGAGCTGCCACAACTGGAGACAGAGTGACAGAGCAGAGAAAGAGGAACCTCTTCTTTCCATGCCCCCTTAGCCACCAGTCTGGCTGCACATTCAGCCTGACCTGCTAATGCAGACCACATCCACGTGTAGGACTGTTCCAAATGGGAAAATATGTTAGTTTAAAAAAAAAAAAAATCAAATGTGTGATCCCCATGAACCAAAATGTCAAGCTGTAAAAAAAGGGGAGTTTAATAAATAGCAGCATTGACTTGGCATGCAATTGTAGAGTAAGTCAGAACTGAACATAAGTAGGAATTCTAAAATATTACAAAATTAATCTTTCATCGTTGCATAACTCTGTATTTAAAATTAGCATCCTATTCTGTTATATTGGTTTGTAACTTAGGAAGTTAAATTGAATAAGTTAAAGTATACAGCTTAAAGGTTGAACAAATCTGATAAATGTATTTAAAAACGTACACTAGCAGAGCCAGAGGTATTAACAGGAAAGTATTACTGCAGTTTACTTCAATTCCCTTTGAAAGTCTCATTTAACACTTGAAAAACAAAATGGTTTCTAAAGAAATATTATTATTAAGGCTTTTCAAATAAAAAATAAATCTTCTGGATAAACTTGCATTAAAGACACTTGAAGGTTTGTGAAAGCACAGACTCTGAGAGACATCAGTTGTAAAAACCGTGTCACCTCCTGCTACCTCTGAGGACAAACACTGCTCTGTTACGCCTACATGTACTGCATTAGTTGTGGTAGCATGCTTTTCCCTTTTGTTAGGCTAACAATGTAGTGACCACAGTCTGAAGGAACACTTCTTACACTGCAGCTAACCAGGTCTTCTTACACAATTGGTGACATCCAGCCCATCCCGCTGCTGCGAGGTGTGCACGCCCCAGGGACCACAAGGAATACGAACTGAAGAAGACAAGCTGAGTAACAGAGGTAAGCATTAAGGCAACTAGAGTAACAAATCAAAGAACCACAAGTTTAGCACCTCGTCTCCTCTGTTTGCCTCTTTGCATATTCATTGGAACAGTCACAGCAAAGTACAGTCAGCTGGGTACCTGATTATCACACACACACACGCAGAGGTTGTGCCCCTTTACAGACTACATGAAATGCCAAAGTGACATCCAGGTGTGGGCTTCTTGAAGAACCTATCGACTGCAGTGTATTCCTTCTGCATTTGCCTTGTACCTCTGCTCGGGGGTGGGATGCCTGGGCTCCAGAGTGGCAGGGTATGTGGCATTCAGATCTACTCCAGCTGCTGGAGGATGCTTCTCCTTGTGGAAGCTTCCACTCTCTGGGAAATACAGCTTGGGCCTCTGGTGGTATTTGAGCCTGTAGGTGTCAGTCATGCAGCTGTCTACCGAGAAGTAAGTGGTTAGGGACACGCTGTCGTTCCCGTCTGCGTAGGCAGGGCCGGGTCCCGTGTGACGAGATCCTTTCTTCAGCATGTTCTCAGACACGGTCCAGAACTCATTAGCTGATAAGCGAGGTGGAGAATCCGGTTTGTGAACAAACACTTCGTTCCCTGGAAAGGGCTCTTTCAGCCTTTGTTCAGCTGGGACTGCACTTGCTTCTGATGCAGATTTTGCAGGTGCACCTGTTTGCCTTAATGGACTAATTTGCAACACTTCCGTTGATTTTCCATTCGCTACCGAGTTATTCTCTGATCCTACCAAAGTGCTCAGAGCATATTTCTTGGGAGGTAAGGGGGGAGGAACGTTCTGGTACACGGCTTCAGGCCCCCACAGGGGATCAGCCCTCCGGAGCAGGTGCCCGCCGTGCTCGCCGGGAGGGGCGGGCGGCACCGCCGGCCTTTCGGGCAGGCTCTGAGGGGCACAGGGCACCAGCCCCACCTTGGGACCCGGAGCGTGATGGGACACGCTCCTTGTGTGGTGAGACTGCGGCTGGCCAGGGGCGGGAAAGTCGCTGTGGATTGGCTTCCTGCCACAGGCGTTGTCCGGGAAGGGGTGGGACACGCTGTCCGCACAATACACGGGCACGTTCAGCTTCTCAAACCTCTCTGCCTGAAGCCACTCGGAAGAGTTGGGCTCGGTGGCCTTGCTCCTGCTGTCTGACTTCACAATCTCTTTGACAACTGGCTGGAGAGCTGATGAGGGGAAATATTTCCTGTTGGTCTCAGGCATTTCAGCTCTAAAAGACAAAACCATGCAGGATGTGAGTGTCTGTAAAAACTTATCAAAAGGTGCAGATAACAGGCATTTTTTAAAACACAGCCCTAGTAAAACCACTGAAATAGTCAAACTGACAAGAGAATTAGGATCTGTTCAATAAGATACAGCCCTTGGAGTTTGAGTTGTGTCACATGACTCCAGAGTTTCTTTCAGAGTTTTTTATTTGAAGTATAAATGTGCCCCAAGAAGCTAAGATAAATTCCTTCAACATTCAGGACTATGTCAAATATGACCTCTGCTCTCTTCTAAACATCTTTGTGACTCTGATACATCCATTTTTCAAATATTGGATGCTACTTTAAGTTGATAAATTTCTGTTTAGATTCTTGATTTTCAGCAGATACCAAGCACTTAAGAGTTCATATTAGAAACAACAAGATACAGCAGTAGCTTCTAAACACAAATTAACTTTTCCCCCCCCTTCCAGACAAATTTTTCAAAGCTTTATGAGATGACTGCACTAACCACAAGTTGGTTAATCACTGCATGTTGCATATAATTCCAAACAGAAAAAGGTTAAATCCTTCTCTGTCTATTAAGATGGTTTCAAACCATCTAAGCTATTTGGTGACATTGTCAGCATCAAAATTACAGACAGAGAGAATTTAGACCCATCAATTATGCAAAATTCAAAAGGGATTGCCTGTCAAAAATACTGAGTGCCTTCACTCATCAATGCTTAATATCAATCATTGTAACAGGAATCAGTATTGCTTAAACTATTACAGAGCAATGTGCCAGTACTGGTTACCTCTTTACTGGAGGACTGGGGACCTGCAAATGTAATTCTGCTGGGAAACCAACATGGGGATGAGGTCTGTAGTGAACTTCAGAATTGATCTGGTCTTTCCTCAAATCTGGGGCTAGAAAAGGAAATATTTCAAAATTAATGGATATACAATCCAATTCCTTCTTTGTAATTCCTCAGAGATTACAGAAACAAACATAATACCACACGACAATGTCTTTCAAGATTTGAGATTAATCAAATAATCATTTCAAAGATAATCTGTCACAGAAGGTCATGTCTTAGAATCTGGAGGAAATTTTCTACATTTTCAATTTTCTGTGCTTTCATATTAGCAGAAAATAGGTAATTATCAAAATTTTGAAAACATGAAAACATTTGAAAACATTTTGAAACGTGGACACTGGGCAGCCAAGGAGCACTGTCACCCACATATCCCAAACACACAGCACTGAGTCCCTGGGCCAGCACTACTGCACTCCCACTCCAGAAGCTCCTTTTATTCCCAGGCAAAGAATCATTCCCTGAAAATACACAAGTTCTGAACAAGGCAGCTCCTAGCGAGCAGGAAATAAAGGAAGCATTGAAGTATTCGTGTCAACACCACACAGAATAAAACATTCACTTGGCAAGTGACAAGCAGCAGTCTATTTGTTTAGAGACTCCAAGTCTCCCTAATGCCATGATCAGCCCATTAATATCAGTCACCTGCTCTGAAGCCACTCAAAGGAATGGCTTTTTATTATTGTCATTATTATTAATACAATGGCTTCTTTTGTCTCTGTACAGACTAGACTTGTAACTGCTACACCTATTTCACTTCTTATTTCTCCAGGTTTAAATATTTAAAGACTTGGAGCTTATGAGCCAAAGCCCCAACAACAGAGCAGAACCAAAGTGAAAAGTTTGGGTGTTGCTGTTTGGTGACACTCATTTTGAGGGTCAATATCTGCCCTCCCTTTAGGTGATGTGAGACTAAAGACATGAAATCTTTCACCCAGAACACAGGTAGCAGAAGCTAAGAGGGCACAAGAGACAAAGCCCCCATATGGCTTTCCTCAAGTCTCGAGGTGAAAATAAAATCAAATAAAAAATGCCACAATAAGCATACCACAACCTTAGAAATAATATTTATGGGAAAATATTCTTACTGAACGAGCCCATGCAAGGGACGAATCATGAACCTGAGAGCTCCAAACCGCTGGTGTTCCACGGAGCCGCCTAAGAGTGGGGCAGCAGCGCTGAAAGCGGCGCTGTTTCAGACGGGACCATTTCATTCTGCCGCGGGCTGTGACCATTGTCCCTCGCGGGGCAGTACCGCAGGCAGCCAGCAGGCGGCAGCAGAGCCCAGCGAGCCGCTCTCCGCGGGCACCGCCAGCGGCGCCGGGCGCTCCGTGCCCGAGCGATTCCAGCCAATTTAAAAATAGATGTGTTATTTTCCCTTCTGCTGACAGGACGGCCATGCACGGTTAAAACCAGACGCCGGCTCGATTGGGAATTTTGGCTCTACGTTCTCTGCAAACCTAAATATGGGACACGCAAGCCCGGTTCAGCTGGAGGCCGGCATCCTTATCAATGGGTCATTAAAGGCTGAACAATAAATAAAAGGTAATTGTGTTCTGCTTTTTAGATTTACAGACATCTATGTTGACATCTGGGTAGTCAATCCAGATTTTCAAGAGATTGACATCCATTCTACAGGTAGGACCGACAAGGTCTTGTCTAATATCTCCATTTACACAGACAGAACATGTGCAAAAATCTGCCAAGCCCAGCTTCAGTGGGGAAAAAATCCCAAAGGAAAATAAACACAAAAACCTCCAACAAAAACTCAACTCCACATGAAATTCAACTTGCTCGTTACAGGTTTTAGCTGCACGTTTCCTGAATTTTTTTTAAATATTTTCTAAGTTGTCAATAAAAAAACCCAACAACAAAGCGTAATGTTTATTGTAACAAATATTGTGGCAAATTCCTCTCTCTTAGCCCAGACATTCTCTGTATTTAGTTGAAATTACAGGCAAACTTATTGGAAGTTTTGGAAATGTGGAATAACAACAACTACCTCTCAGTCACAGAAGTAAGCATATTATAACTTGTCCAAAATGGATTTCTGAAATACAGTGACCAATCTTCTTAAAACAAACAAACAAAAAAACACTTATATTCTAGAAACTTTACTTTGGGAGCAACATTCAGTTGCAAAACCTTTCCTAGCTATCTTTATCATTTAAAGACATTCCAATAAAGCATTTATTTGTTTCTCCAGTAAAGCATTGGTTTCTCTCTCATGGTAAGCAAACTAAGTAGCTACAAGTCTTAATTCTCTACTCATTTCTTTAAACTTGACATTAATGTACATTGACTGCACCATAAGGGTAAGAACTGGATTTCCTTAAGAGCAGTTGCATGTTTTAAATTATTACTATGAATGTCCAGTTTTCCTAAGCATATGAGCTGTCTTTTCCAGAGTTATGGTTGGTTTGTGGAGTTTTCTCAAGTGGCACATAAGCAAAGGTAATTTGGATTCTAACCACACTAACCAGATCTTTAGAATGATCCTCATGCTATTGAACTGAACAAAGGGAAAACCATCAAAATTAGTCATTTTCTTTAACTTGCAGAGCATGAGGTCGGAAATTTTTCCCTCACACTGCTCACATCTCAAGTTCTTTATACTCAAAAACATTTTGCCTCCTCGGCTCATCAAGTTCAAACTTCATAAACACAAAGTGATTAATATAAATCACGGATACAACATCTGCTTACTCCATATTTACATTTTCCTGCCAAAATCTGACCACACAATTTAGGGATTGGCCTTGTGGGACCTTGGCTTCAGTACCACGGTTACCTGCTGCTCACTGCCCGTGTGAGGAGCAGCCTTTGCTCTCCCCATCACTGTGTGATCCAGTGTTTCCATCTTTATCATGTTCTGACAATAAGTTTATTTTTGTGAGTCAGGGACAGAATTCCTCAAGTGCTGAACAGTAGCCTCATGCAGCTCCAGTAAAAAACAAGGAGCTGGTAAAGCACAGTTATACAAATAGTGGGCATAATTCAAAGTCCAACATGATTTCCATAAGAACTTTTCCACACACACACAAAAAAACCCCAAAAAACCAAACCAAAACAAAAAAAAAACCACTCAGACGTATTTTTTTTGGAGTTGCCATGAAGGCCTAACAAAGATTTCTTACATTCCATTCCTCTCTCAGAAAGGACTGAGCATTTGTTTTTTTAAAGTCCTATTTTCTGAGAGTCTGCCTGGTATTTACCTACCAACCCATAATATTCAGAGATGAAACACAAGGTAATACAACTGATACCTGTAAATGACTGCTGTTGTCCTTGCTAAAGCTGTCCTGACACACTTTTTGACAACCCAAAAACTGAGTCCAAATACATCTCTAACCCCACATACATGTGAAATTATCAAATTCTTCAGATCTCTTTTTGGTCCCTTGATCAATTCCATTAGTAGTATTTTTCAAAATGGAGCTAAATACATGCATTTTTTTATAAGATGCTATTTAATAATTAATTACTGAATTAATTACTGAATAGGTGGGATTCTATCATCAATTTCTTTATGATATCTTGGAGGATCACATGGAATCACTACATTCTTTTAAAGAAAATATAGGATGCATGTTGAAAGTTTTAAGTATTCTTAAGTACTGTCTCCAGAAAACAGTCCATTGCTTTAACCCACTCATTTTTCATGCCTGAAGAATATTTTAAGTATTTTTCACTGGTGTTTTTTCCATCTTTCCTATGCAACTGTGTTAGATAAGAATGGTATAATACAGAACTAAAGCAGAATAAATCTTATGCAAAACCAGATCTTTACATTCCATGCAACTCATTTTTGGATGGGTTTTTTGTTTGTTTTGGGTTGTCAAAATAAGCAAACACCAAATTAGTTGTCTTTCTGCACCAAAAAATAAATTAGAATAAGGACAGAAAAGGTAGAAGTGGTATGGCAACACCCCCACCCCAAGTCCTAGCAGAAACTATACCATACATTATTTGAAAAGAAGCATGATATCTATAAAAATCAAATGTTTCCTGAGGAAGTGGCCTAATATTTATTGCCCCTCTTTGTACAAGCACACTCCCATTGTTTCAGCAACAGCAGATAATGATTTTGGCTGGCCTCAGGTTGACCTATAATATTTATATGCCAAGGCATTTATCAACTTTATAAAACCCCAGCAGACATATTAGTATGTAAAAGGAAGTAGATTTCCTTAACACAAGTGTTTCTTCCTGATACTGCTTCATATCTAGGAGGAAAAGAAATGGTGCCACAGTCCACCCAGACATGAAAAAAAAAAAACAAACAAAAAACCCATGTCATCTCTGTTCAGGTTTTTTGGGTTTTGGGGCTGGGAGGAAGAGAAATTCTGGTATATCTACAATAGTTTTTGAAAACTTCATTTTTATATAGGTCCTTACCATGGAAGCTTCTGTTCTGCTGGGGCACTGAATGTACCACACTGTCAGCTTTTTTGGTTGGCAAGTTCTGTTCACTGCAAAAGAAGCATATGTGTGATTACAACCCTGAGACACCACTGGTCATCTAATCCAATTTATTTGTAGCTATCAATATCTTAAGTAAGTGTAACCTATTAACCAACATTCCATCTTGTCCATTTTCCTAATCTGATTATTTGCTATTCATTAATTCCTTGTTTTGATGACAAATATTATTCTAATGTATGACTGCCACTTGGTATCTCATTCATAGGGATTTTCACTTATTTTTTTTTTCCCCTCAAACAGGAATGAAACTGGAAGATCACAGCTACAAACCCAAATGGAGAGAAAAAAAAAATTATCAGAGGATTTTCTTAATCTTGCTGGTTTACTAATCCAGATAGAGCTGACAAACACCCTGCCAATTTCTACCTTCTACAAGAGTAAGGCAGGGAAGAAGATACACAGGGGCAAAACTTCAATTTAAAAAAAAACAAAAAAAAACAAAAAAACACTGTTATTGAAAGGACAGGAAAACAAGAAAAATACTGAAAGAAACACAAAGAATGAAGTTAAAAACAAAACAGTATTTTTTTCCACTTCCTAAAATAACTTTCAAGTAATTAATTTGTATTTTGGGGGGTTTATGACACAGAGTCTGAAAAGTTAGCAGGGAACTAGTAGGTATTGCCAGCCAACTGAAATTACCAGTCATAGAAAGCATTTCTACAAGTCCCATGAAGTCAGTTGTATTTTGATAAATGTTTAAACAACAGTGTACTTAATGAACTACACTGTTGGAAATTTATCACATTCTCTCTCACAAAATGGCACATTTGGGTGCCCCATTGCCTCTTGGGCATGCTTAAAAATGAGACAGTTTCAAGTGAGCAAAATCACTGTTTGAGGCAACCATCAAACACTGAAAATACAACCAGGAGTTGGAGTAGCTTTATATAAAATCATGTCATTAACCAATAAAAGCCCATCAGGTTTTTGTATAGTGGGATTTTGTACAGTTTGGTGGGAGGGAAAGAGTGGGACAAAGGGGAGAAAGGTCCTTTGATATCCTGCTATTTGCCATTCTCTTTTCTGTGAAATAACTTGCCATGAAAATATATGTCTGAAAATTTGCTTGGATCTAGCAAATTAGATCTATCAATGAGACTAGGCTTGGGGTCCCAGCTGTGCTCTTCCATTTTATGGATACAAGCACAAATTGGAAGAAGAATGAATGGGTTTCAGAAGGATCTACATTCCACTCACAGTTTGAGATACACAATACTGAAAACTGCATGTGGAAGGATTATAACTTAAATTTATGTGATGCTTGAAATATCAAGTTGGAATGGACCTCTTCAGATCATCATTCCAACCAGCTGTAGTAATTTTACACTTCTCAGCAAAGATTTATTTCAGACAGGTCAATCAATTACCAAATGATCAATATGCATCTGAGGGGATTTAGGAAACTGAATTTCTGCACTATGACTGGTAACAGCAGCCAAGATTGACCTATGCCATTCCCATCTCCTTCTCAGGGCCTGTACCAATGTTACAGGTGTGATTAACATGGACACTATTATTCCATTACAGATGGAAAATTACACGCAGTCTAAAAATCTTGTAAGTAAAGAAGTGTAGCAATTACTACAAATGAACACACCCTGCCCCTCAGCAGGGCTCAGCAGTTCTGGCTCTGTGCCTCCCCAAGAGAAGCAGAGTGAAGGTACATTGAGCACTTAATTGCCCACACCCTTATTTCTAGATACACTTGAGCTTTCCACATACCTGACTTCAAGCAAGTTTCAAAGCATGTTTTCCTGGGTGGTTTTGAAGAACAGGTAAACGTTAGAACAGGTTATTTTTCCATAAATACAAGCTATGCAAGCTCTAAGAGCACTAGCATTACCTGCAGGAAGCACTTTCCTTCACATTCTTGGCATCTGCCGAATTGATTCCTTCAATAACAGGGGAGTCTGGATTTGCAGAGCCATTGCTGATATGGTCACTGCTTTCATACCCAGATTCTGTCCTCTGAATTTGCCAGTTATCACCATGGATTTTTCTCTCTGTAAATCCTTTGCTTTTTTCAGCATTCCCTTTTCCCTCAGAATCCAGTGAACTTCGACTTCCTGTATCCTGTTTTGTCTCATCTTCATATATAGTCATTAAACCCTTCTGCATTTGGGTCTCCTTTGGCCAGTGGTTAAAGCTCCGCTCCTTTTCGTGCTTAGATTTACTGCTCAGGTTTGCTTTGTGCTTTGGGCTGTGCTGTTTTTTCTCAGTCTCACTGAAAATGCTGTCTACATTCAGTGTCTCCCTCATTGGCTTCCAACCTTTACTCCTGCTCCTGCTGCTCATACTTCCTTTGTCCCTGGAGTCTTGACTGGTATCCGTGTCATAGCCAGCGATGCCATCGGTCCGTGTCCTTGTCACTGCTTTCTCCCCAGCAGGAAAAGGCTCTGTTTTGTTTGATCCAAGCCCATGTGCAGAAAGCTTTGCCTGGTGAGGTGCTTGGCTGTCGTGCTTGTAGGGGCCCCTTCCCTGGCTGCCGTAGATCCGTGGATCCGCGCAGTGCCTCAGTCCATTCCCAACTGGAGGAGACCCTGACTTGGCACTGCAACGCTCTTCCCCAGTCAAGTCTTACAAGAACAAGAAGGAAAAAAGCTCCATTACTCTCCTTAATATTTCATTGAATGATTTGTGTCGGAATGGATTTCATGATCATCAAAGTTCCAGCTGCCCTGCCACAAGGAGGGACACCTGCCACCAGACCAGGGTGCTCAGAGCCCCATCCAACCTGGCCTTGGACACTTCCAGGGTGGAAGCAGTCATTTAACTGATATTGTTTAATATTTCTTACAGTATCTCTACAAATCCAGTAGGTATTTCAGAATACTGAAAACTGGGGAAAGCCTAATCTTACTGTGTGATCTCTTCGAAGGAGAAAAAAATCTGCACAAGCAGCATTGAGGTTAAGATTTTTTTAATCCATGGATTCTCTGGTTATATTGTTTAAAACGTACCTCTTTGTCTCCCAGACTCTTTCCTTGGTCCTCTGTCCACATCTTTCCGTAAAGATGTGAAGTTTTTCATGTCAGCAGCTTTCTGGGCACACTCTCTGGATAAATCCTTTAGCCTGTCCTTTTGTTCACTGTATCCTAACTTGGCTGCAAAAAAACAGTTCTTGTCAAACATCATTACTCCAAAGCAAAACACACAAACATTTAGGGACAGTAAGATTTCGTTTTTAGTGCTAAGAATACTTCAACTGACTAATAAATTATTTAACACAGATTAAGAATGTGAGATTTCTTTCCAACCCTGAGATCAAGTCCATTAACATATAGGACTACAAATAACGCTGGTATCACAGCATTGCTGGGGAAAGTGTTCCTCAGGTCGCCAGTGACCCACATAGCCACACCTCAGCCTCAAGTCACTAATGTGCCTTTTAATCAGCAACATGTTTGAGGAATGGAACAAGGCCTCAAGAGCCACTTTAGTTAAAGAATAACAAGGGTAATAAACATTTTGCATTTACGGCTCTCTCTGGGAAATTAACATTCCAGGGCAGATATTCAGACACTACTTAACCATTGAATGAATCTTTGAATAACAGCTAAGTCAATGATGGGATTCTTCCCTTAGAAATAGTGCTAGTCTCGAGGTTAGAACCCACCTGAAATGCCATCAAGTGAAAAATTTCATAATAAGACATATCTGGTTCGTTTTTTTAGGGGTGGAAATAGGGAATACATACCTGGGCCTCTACCACCACTTGCTTGAATATGGCTCCTACTGAATGCAGGATTATCTGGCTGAAGTTTTTTATTACTCCTTTGATTAGTAGAATCTCCAATTCCATTCTCTTTCACATGGTCTGCTTTAGCAACAGAATGCTTTTCAAATCCTGTTAAACAACATATTTATCTTTAGAAATAAAAGGCTTCCTAATTTAAATTTCCAGTATCTAAATTTAAAAAGGAAGCTTTTGAATTGTGGGTTAAAAAGCCAGAAGAGAAACATCACCAAAAACCACACTACATTTCAATATACTAGGCAATAAGGTTCTGTAACATTTTATATATTGCCACTTTTATAGTGGTAGCCTGCAGTAAAACAGGGTGCTCAATTCTTTGCTCCCTGAAGTAATCTAAGTTCTATTGCTACACATGATGTGAAGAATGGCATGTCAAATTCAATTTGCCTTTTGTTTAAGTTCCTTCTAAGTTATGCTTAGCATTAAATTTAAAAAGCCAACCTGAGACAGCAGTACAAATTACAGAACCAAAAGACTGGATTCTTTTCCCTGTTACCCATTAGTCTCAATTTGTATCCCCTTATTAACAGGGCTAATACTGAGTATACACACTAATCTCTTTTCTTTTGAGGCTCTTTAGATAATGATTGATGAAAGTGTTTCAGAACAAAGCAGCCAATCTATTTCTTCTCCTTCATAATCCCCATTTCAGAAATACAGCTGATACTATTATTAAAAAAAAAAATACATCTAATTACCCAGGTCTTCCCCATTTCCTCCTGCTGCCTTGCATTGAGACCAGTGAATAATCTGCTTTGGTGCATCTTCTGGAGACACAGCTGTGCCATCTGGGTTAGCATAAAATAGCAGCAATGGCTGGAAGTGACATCGAATGCACCTGGACACCACATCTTTCCATTTGGTTCCAATCTAAGAAAAAAAACCCAGCAAAACAAAACCCCAAAACTTTATCAACAGTGCTGAACTCAAATATGGAAAGAATAATTAATCAATCAAGAAACACCAAATGTGCCTAATTCCAAATGCACATGAAGATACAACATTTTAGCACTGTGGTTTACATAAATTGCAACAGAAAGATAGAACTAGTATTGTATGGGCTAAAAATCAGAACATCATCCCTATGGATACAGATGACAGTATCTTTTTTTCCATTCAACAATAGGCAAGTGCATGAACATTCTGAAACATTCACCATTTGTGAGGCACAACCATAAAGCAGTGAAATCAATTCTAAAGGTCGTTGAAAAAAACTTACAGAAAATAACGTACAAGACTGAATGTTGGTTAAAGTTATTAGACTTGCTTCAACACTGGTGTCAGAAGAACACTCTCCAGAGAAGAAAAGATGCCAAAATTTGGTAGGAGTGAAGCCAAAACTTACCTCTTTCACATTAGCATCATCAAACAGCACCCATTTGCAGCTCTTGGTGTGAAAGGCAAAGGCACAGTAATGTCGGCTCGTGTAACAAATCATTCCCACAAGAAAAAGCTCACTGTTTTTGGCATTTTCATCTGTAACCCTATAAAACAGCTGTAAAAAAGATGACATATTTTAAAACACGTGTAAAACACAGCCTCAATTTCCTGACCTACTGCTGGCTTTTCACCAATGTAACTGGTATTTAATGTCCTGTTGTATTATACATTTTTTCCTGAGTATAAATACCGATTTTTGCACTTAACTGATCTACTTGAACCTTTTTTGGTTCTTTTATATTTGAAAGAGCAAAGTATTAATCCTCTGGAATAATTCCACACATTTCAAACTGAAAATTATATTTCTAGATTTTCAACTAGGAAGTCTTTTAGATTAATCACTGTACTTAGGGACAAAACGCTTCCAACAGGACTTTTTCCTCTCACAGAAATGACATCAAGCAGCACATTATAAAGAACCGTAAAAGTAGACACGTAAAATACTTAATTTTATATAAAGTTAAATCATTCTTATAAAAAGTACATATTAATATTTATATTTTTAATATATTCATCTACACATAAAATAGAAAGTCAAATTAAATTTTAGAAAAAGCAAAGAGTATGTTTAAGGTCAGATACCCCTGGAAGATAAAGCTGTGTTGCCAGATTCCGCATAACCTCTTCTGTCAGATCAGAGTGTTCTGAATCCCACACTAAACCAATGGTGACAATCTCAGGACAGTTCATAAGAACACGACGGATTTTGATTTTTTGACCACAATTACTCTAGAAAAAAGGAAACAAAAACCACGATAGGAAGTGTTTTTATAATTGACTCAAAGGTGAGTCACTACACAAGAATTAGTTCAAAAAACACCAACTCTACAATGTCTTTAATTCCAAAAATTGCTTATGATATTTGTTCTAACGATTTGAAGGTAACATTCTTCATCATAAAAAATACTTTGATGAAGACTACAGTTTAACTTCTATAACCCATCACCACCTTATAAGAGAAATCTCTATAACTGGAACAACAAAACCTAAGTGTAAGATATTTGTTTGCCCTAAGCTGACTGCTCTGAAGCAGTCACAACAGCAACACAACCCTGCTTTTGGGGGAGTATTTCTAGCTTTATTTAATATCCTAAAAAGTATCCCAAAGTAATGGAACATTTTGGTTTACTTACAGGACACTTTCTGTAGTCATCAGCAGTATTTGCTGCCTGCAGCAATTCTGCAAACATTTCTGGCTTGAGACGCTCGTGCCTCTCCATCATTTTTTCTACTTCATTACTGCAAAAAATAAATGACAACACTATGGATCTCCCTTCTAAAGGGGAACAGACTTCAATTAACTGTATTGTATAACTAGAAAGAAAACACACAGTGGTAAAACAGTAGCAATACAAATACTCTTTGTTAAGCCCTCTCTACATCCTCCTTTTGAAATCCAAATGCTATTTTTTAACAGTATCTCCATACATGTTGCAACCAAAAAATTACACATTAATTTCTAGCACTTTAAAGACTTTATCTGGCATGCTTTGCATATTATTAGAAGGGTGTATATAGAAAAATGAGTAACAAGAATAAAAGCTCTTACCACAGGGCTGTGGTGGAAATGTAACGTACAAATTCTGTAAAAGGCAATGGATCTGATGATGCTCCACAACTGCGACACACACACTACAAAAAGAAAAATACTTTTGTTTTTATTTACTCAGGAAAGAGAAAACAAACTATTTGTTAAACCAATCAAATGAAGGTCTGACCTGCTCATACAAAGTCATAGCAAACTTCTGGTGAGAAATACAGGATTTTGAAGTGCACATATCTGTTTCACTGTTTGGCACTAAATGGAAATGAATCCTCTCAAGGATATTTTCCTGCAAGGAAATAACAATATAAATGTAAACTGAACTGATGAAGTCAGAACACATGAAGAACATTACAATTTAGTACTCTAACTATGCCCCTTGGCTCCAAAATAGTATGCCTGCAATGACTTTGTCCCCTGAATCAGCAAAACCATTTTTTCCTTTTGCCAAAAATACCAGAGATAATGGAAAGAAGTGAATCTCTTCATGTAGGTCAGAGAGATGATGAGTTCAGGAGTCCAAACGCATTTTGAATAGATGCAGCAGTAATAAGAGGCTCTCTTTCATGACTACAAGATCTCAAACAGCCTCTTTCAGGAGTTCTGCACTGGATTTTCCTACGTATGTCAATAAAGATCTAGGAGGTAGGGATTAATATGTGGGTACTCCCAAAGGATGTCCAAAGCTGAAAGTAACTGAAGCAGCAACCATATTTCCTGCCTCTCAAATCCATGTGTGAAGGTTAATACTGCAGGTGTTTTATGGTGCACATTGTCATTTTCTAACACAGGACCTCTTAGGAAGGTCTCTTCACCAGAGGTCTGTGACATCTGGAGTCACCTTTAAAGGCTGCAGCAGTGGCTCGTGTGTTTCAGTAAGACACTTCACTGAAGCACAAAGTAACTACAGCAAGATCTTCAAGCATTTGTTGTCTCTTGGGTAAGAAAATGGAAACCTTTTCTGCAGCAGAATTCAGCAATGAGCTGGCCAGTTGTAACGCACTGCATTTCAATAGCTGGTGACTCAATACTTCTCAGGAGAAGCACCTATGGGTTTGAATATATTGTCTGTTCCTTGAAGATAACCTTTCTCTCCATCAAAATATTTCTAGGAGTGACTCAGAGCCCATCATCCTCACCAACCTCCTGCTCTGCCTGAGCTACAGAGTAAAGGGAGGAAAGTATGGAACAAACAGGACCACATCATCCCCCTTATCTGACACTTACTCCATGTGTCTGTTGCCCTAAACTGGCATAAAGAAACTCAGCAGGATTATGTTATTTGACCCCTACCCATGAGCCTGGAGCCACCAAAACCCCTAAACCAACAAAATTCTACTCAACACTTACAAAGCATTCTGCTGCATCATCCATGAATCCCAGCTGGAAGCGCTGCTCATCCTTGAAGCTTTCGGCGAGGGCGTGTCTCATGTTATCCGATGGGAGGGCTTTCTCTCGGCTGTGCTGGAATTGTGAAAAGATTGCCTAGGAACAAGTGCAATGTTTATTTAGCTAAATCATCTGGTTCTACACAAATACATCATTTCTTTCATAAATATGTGAAATATATATATTTATAATCTTTATAGACCCTCATAACTTTCCAAATGACTGTTACTACAGGTGTATTCTGGTACTGACTCCTCTACAAGAAGTTATGGTACCAAACTGAACCCTGAACCTGGAGAACAACAACATACAAAACACAAAACTGGAAGTGATTGACTTGAGCTCCCAGAGGCAACACAAGCCCTGTTCTGTAATTATACAGTTTTTAATTTGGCCCCTGGAAGAGCAGTTCATTCATATGTATGTTTACAGATGGTGTGTATTTCTTAGGGCATAATTTAATACCACTCATGATTGACTAAATAATGTAATATTTACTGCTTAGGAGCAGGGTAGATCTTTATTAAAATTATGGATATGCAAAACCTCCCATAAACTAGATAGGATGCCAATAATCCTTGCTATGAAATTAGCTCAGTGCTGAACCAGTGCATACAAGACAAGAGAAAAGGTCACTATCTGCAGTTCTGGAACATGATAATAAATTGCACTTGGTTTTTAATTCATTTCCCAGAAGAGAGAGTTGGCTGCTACTTTTCTTTTTGGCAGAGATACCCATCCAAGTGAGCTCATCATTTAGCAAGTAAAGGAGGTTGATTCTGAAAGAACTGAAACTTAAAAGCTATTAAATGGATTACAGATTTGCAGATATTTAAAGCTGTATTCCCCAGTCAAGAATTGTAAGTCAAACTTTAAGGAGAACTGAAGAGACTAAAGGCAAAACAAGTCAGGAGAAGCCAGGTAAAATATAAATAAGGACATGCATTCTTCACATAGGCTTCCTATGGTTAAAATCTGTCAGAGAGAAGGCAAAGATAAAACAGACAAGCAAAGTTTCACTGCTAACAAAAAGGAGTGTTTTAACCATGATGCATTCCAGGGTGTCTCTCAAGTATTTAATCTTGCCTCTCAAAACAAAAAGCATGGACTACCAACAAAAATTACAGCCACTATCCCCATGTAAACATTCAAAATGAAGTTCTTGACACATCTGCTTTGAAAACACTTTTCACTTCGCATTTTGCCTGCTAGGTCATTTTTTGTTATGCAACATAGCTTTTTATGTCCAGCTAAAAAAAAAAAAAAGGAGCCAACCAGTACAGATAAGCAGGTGTGCAGATGGGTATGCTCAGTTTAGTGGCCTGCACAGTCCAAGTCCTAGAATTTATTGGCTATGTTTTTAGTTTATAGCAGAGGCTGACAGAGAGCCTTCATTGCTAAACAGGTAAGAGGGGTAAAAATAGCCCAAGATTACAAAAAAAGAAAAAAATGCAACCCAACCAAAAAATCCACCCAAGTCATAAACAAGTCACTGTTCATCCTCATCCAGTGTATATATTTCAGGGAAATTAAAATGTCCAAGATTCAGAACACAGAACAGTCAGAATTACTCAACCAGTATCTTAAAGAGCCAAGAAAGCAAAACCAGTAGTGTAGAGAACAGCTGGGGACAGACACTTCCAAATGAATCAACTACTCTCTTTTGAGGTCAGTACATAGGCCATGGAGTTAAATAACACAACTACACTGTTAAAAAAATAACTTACTTCTAACCAACCCCAGAACCATGTAAAATTTGTTCTTGAAATACAAGAAAATATTTCTCTTACTAACACTTGTTTAAAATGTCCTTAAAACTGAATTGCTTCTTTACATAAGAATGACTTGGTCACCCAGGGATAGGTATGCTACAGACACAAATTTAAAAAAAATAATTTACATTTTTGTTCCCTCATTTTGAAATATGGTTCTTTCAGAATTTTTTATTTACCTTTAAAGCACAAAATATGCAGGCATCTCCTTGACACACGTGTCCAGTTAAACCTCTTAAACTTCGTCGAAATATGTCAAGTTGCCACAAGACCTATAAAAATAAAGAGAAAATATGTAATCAGTTCTGAAGGTTGTTTAACACAACATACAGTAGATTTTATTTATTTTTTTTTTTATTTCACATAACATACAATTCAAGTACCAATATTGCTGTAGGAAATGTGGGGCTTTTCCATAAATTTGGTAAATTTTGGAGGTAGAAATGAGAGTTTCACATTGAGCACTTAAAATTTAGATCTATCTTTGAAACTTCTTGAAACAATGTATTTTGAAGAAAGAGCTGAAGCACTGCCAAGGAAACAAGCAGCAATCTAAACACTATACAGGCACTGTAGCAGTTCTCTTAAAGTTCTACCTAAGAGTTAAGTCTATGTTACATCCTTATGGTCCCTTATCAAAATGATTGCTGCAATACATTTGTTTTTCCACAGATCCAAATAATCCTGGTGCTTACCCAGCTATGTTTCTACCTCTTATTTGTGTAAATACCCTGCAAAAAGGTAATAACAGCTTGGCTACACCACACTACTTTCAGTATCTAATGTCTTGGGTACACATGAAGTGAAGCAGTTCAGAAAGCTGTCCATTAAAAAAATAAAAATAAAACCCCTAAAAATGAGTTGTCAAGAAGCACAGTAAGACAACAGCTGCAAATCCAGGGGGGGAAAAATATCCTATCTATAAATATGAAAGCTGAAATAGGATGCACTGGAAAATCCAAGTCCAAAGCTGAGCTCTGAAGGTTGAGCAGAGGTGAAAAGAAAAGAAAGGAACACATTGCTCCTTGTAGAAGAGCAGTCACCAACCATCTGCAACTGGCTCATAAACAGCACTGGGCTGGGAAGTTGGAGGATTGTCTGAAACTAGAACTAAAAATTACTTGGGCCTTCATTTTAGGGCACCTAAGTGAAAATAGCAGAACTGCAAGAGAATATAGGTCATGCTGCTCCCATTGGATGCAAAATAGCAAACGCTCTACTAAAACTACAGTATAATTTTATTTTTAATACATATAGGTACCATACACACAACGTAGCTATACCTCTCATATCTCCTGGCTTTAAATCCAAGCCAATTTCAAGTCTTCCAATTTTTCCTCTATTAAGCTCTCTGCCACTTTGAGAAATAATTCTGTACAATTTAAAAACATTCAGATCCAAAATCTGAGCAATACAAGAAGTACCTTGCTATAAGGAGAATTCCAAGTCGTATTTCTTTGGTACCAAGTGTATCTCCTACTCCAATTCCACAAATCTTTCCTAAGACTGAGAATCAAAGCTCTCACTCTATGTGCATATTCTGATATTCCCCAGTATCACAGGCTCACGTGCTAATTTTGAGAAAATGTGATTTTAAAAGTGTCCTTGTCAATTCAAGTAGTAATGGTAGACCCACGTAAAAGATATGCCATGTAAATTTTGGAAGTAATTTTGCTATGTTTGACAGAAGCAATACTTTTAAAATTCGAGCAGAAAGTTTTAAAATTTTAACTCCTACATTTTCAAACACAAAAGCAAAGTCTTTCAGATATTCTTGATGCATGCAACTACAATTTTGTGCAAAATCAAGTCTTAATACTCTCAATTCTTTACAGTTAAATGCTGAATAAATTACCTTCATACGTCTTACTCCTACAATTGCCAATGTTGTTTCCCACAGACAGACTTAGTAAAGTCCATTCAAAAAATGTTTAATAGATGAAGTTTTCTCTTACCTGAACAGCACTATTAAGAAAGCAGCTGTTTTGTCCAGGTTCATTTAATAAGCCTTTTGTAGGGGCCAGGGACAAAATGCTTCCAGGCTGATAAACTTTTCCAAGGTTACCCCCAGGTTTTCTTAGGAATTTCACCCATGCCATTATTTTTTAAGAGTTTATAATCACAATGTTCACACTTAAATATTTAAGGATATGATGGGTGCAAGGCAAAGAAGGTGGTTCTACAATAATATTTCTAAAGTCATGGAATTCCATTCAATTCTGTGTAGTAGTAACCATCCATGGGCTTAAGTCCATTTTCCATGAGCAACTGTGAGCCATTCCTCAGGATCAGTCTCCCAGTAAAAATACAGCTGAACAAAGTTTTGAACCCTCAGTCTTAAAAAAATAAATAAATAAAGGTGTCTAGTTAAGGTTAAAACATGTTAGAAGTCATCAGAATAAAAGTTCTTATTAAGCAAGTTGCACAGTAACTGACTTCTTCCAGGGATATCAATAAAGTATTACTATAAATCATTAGCTGTATTATATTCAAAGTTTATATGTGTGTATATATAAATATATATATATCACAGAACTGGAAAGTTCTTGTCAGGTGTTATACTCCTGTTCTCTCATTTTGTTCCATCTTCTTTTTACTTCTAACTGTAACCCATGAAATATATTCCAGTTTAGAAGACTCCATGTTTATTTCATTCTCTTTCCAGTGAACCTGAAATAAGAAAAAGAACAAATTACAAACAAACAAACAAAAAAGTTAAAGAGCTTCTAAATTAGAAAAGAGATCACGGCAAAGACAACCTCTAAATCTAAGGCAAGATGAAATAGCCAGAAAGAGAAGAAAAAAAAATCACCACCTAAAAATTGTTTTAAGGCATAATAAATAATTTATTTTATCTATCAGAAATTATTATCTTCTAATTTCTTACACATCTCTGAAGACCAAAATAAAATTGCTGTAAAGGTTCCCCTAATAACCAGCAACAGCTTATAAAAAGACCATATAATACATGAGTTATTCAATCTTTGAATCTCCAAGCTAAGAAAAGCATAACCAAGAAATAAATCTTTTTATTCAACACTCAAAGAGCTAAGCTGGTTTTTATTTCAATTTTATGGATGGATTGTCAGCCAGTACTCAGCTTTCAGAAGTTTGTACTGCCTACTAAATAAAAATAAATAAAAATAAATGTGTCATTAACCCAGCTGCATTCTCCAAGCAACCAGAAAAACAGTGCTAACAGCAACGCCAGAACGTTCTGGTGGCTGCCCCAATAACCAATTCCAAGATTTTCAAATTCCAACAATAAGGGTTGTCTCTGCAGTCCTTGAAGGAGAATGTTTAAGGTTAAATGAGTCCATTTCCACAACATCCCCACAACAAGTCAAGCCCAAGCCGTGATCCTCTCATAACAATGGATTATTCTGTCAGTTTGGCATTACTACATCACCCACACAAACATTTCAAGGAACAGCACAGAACAGAATAAATTTAAATAAACCAACATAATTAGGGTTGCATATGTGGGAAGAAAAAAGAAAAAAAAAAAAAAGGTGAAAATTTGGCCTCACGTTTCAATGGAGATATTCCCCTTAAATTTCAAAAGCATGTGAGATACTAAAGACATATCAGGATACTTCAAAACCTGCAGCTTCTCACCAGAGGTTTTTCCACTGTGTAAACATACTAAGATTAATGAGGTGCATTAAAAAACAAAAATGAATTGTGTAGTTGGAATACTGTATAAACTAGAAGAGAACTTTGTTCAGCTCAAAACAAGCAACACCACACTCACACAAAACCATTATTCTATAGCTCCCTAATACTGCACAGCTGGGATTCGTGGTTTTCAAAAATACCTGCAGCAAGTCCTGCACCCCTAAAACCATTCCCCTTTATTTAAGTGAAACATTGGTTCTTGCTTGTATTTAAAAATCAAATCAATAACTGGAAGCTAACCAAAAGCCTTTTTTTGCCCCATGAATAATCAGATGAGTTCTGTTTGTTTACTGATGTTACTGTATCTCACCCGGAAGTAATTTGATTTAATAATACTGGAGATAGTAAGTGTGATTTGTGGCAGCGCTGAGCAAGGAATCTCAAATCTAGCTGGAAACCGACCTTGACAGAACATCTTGTAGCAATTTTGTTTTCTTTATGTTCACTTCAGTTAACCCAGAAAGAGGATAGGAAAAGAAAATGGAGCTGGAAATGTGTATCAGCATCAGATCTTATTAGAAATACAAGCTCTGCTTTGGAAACGAGAGTTTTTCTGGAACAATTTAGGATAATGACAAAGAGCATTCATTTCCTAAGAACTTACAGGAAGTCATTTTCTCTTGCATTTCAGGGATGCCCTACAACTAACACTCCATGCACCAAGCATTTAGGTGTTGGGCTGGCTCTCAGGAAAAGTTATAATGATTCACTGCAAGAATTTAATGAAAAATTATTTCTGGATTAGATCTGAGTTACTGTCCCATTGCAATAAAATGCTTCCTGCTCAATTTCACACCCACAAATCTGTGAATACAAATAATTCCATCTATCACACAATCTTATTCTAATAAGTTTCAGAACACATTAATTGCAGTTTTCATGTGTAGAAGTTCCACTGCAAATTTTTTCTCTACTGCACCAAATACTAAGGTGCATGGCTTCTCATACATTTCTGAGAGCCACTGTAGATGAGCCTTGCAATGGTGCCAGAAGCAACGGGATTAATTTGCCATCACATCTCTCCATAAGGTAGAGCAGCATCTTGCTTTGAGATTTACATTGGACAAATAACTTCGTTTTGATTTAGAAAAAATGAACAAACCCACAAGAATATTATTCCTCTGCTGACAAGCCCACAGATGGCTCCATAAACCAGCGATGCTGCTGATCAGTTTTGGTTTCTTCACCTCCCATGAGTGTGGGTGAACTTTTAGGTGACTGGGACTTGGACCAGACTCCCATAACCTAAATTCAGTGGTCAATAGCACTATAATTAGGACCTGAAGACTTCTTCCTTGTCTGTGGTAAGCCAGTGTTGCTAAGGGCACTGCAGCATTTATTAACCACTGGGGTTTACCAGATCTTTTTAAGCTCTTGGCTTGTCAAAGGTGTGAGTGACAGAGCATAGACCATCAGTCAGTTGTGGATGCCCCATCCCTGGCAGTGCTCAAGGGCAAGTTGGATGGAGCTCTGAACAACCTGGTCTAGTGAAAGTTGTCCCTGCCCATGGCAGGGGGTTTGGAACCTTCCAACCCAAACATTCTGTGAGTGAACCGTACTGAGTCTTCAGTAAGTGCAATATTTCAGGAAAAGAGTTATTTCACACAGCATTACTGACATGCTACAGAAGATTTTTAGCAGCTGAGAACTAAAGGAATACTCTTGCCCTTCAGACTACAGGAATTAATTCTGGACAACTGTTCTCAACCAAGGACACTAAACAAGGGCTATAAGCTCCCAAACCAATGTGTATTTACCAGCCTAACTCCTCCTACCTTACCCAGTTTCAGTCGGTTTTCAGTCACAGGTGAGCTCACCTCAAGCACCTGGCTGCCCTTAGCTGTGCAGCCTTACAGGACAAAACACATGCCTGTCAAAAATTTCTGGGACTTGCCTTGACAGCTTCCAGAACAACAAATCCACTTGTCAGCAGAACTGCACGTTATCACCTGCTTGCTTGGTACACCCCAGCACGTAGCTGTGGCTGGCATAAACTCTTTAGTTTAAGAAGCAGTGTAACTAAAGAAGCTTAGAAACCAGCACAGCTGATATTTTGCCTAAACAATCACTTTCTACAAGCACACATGGGTTTAAGCATTTCTGATATCCATCGAGATAAAAGTGATGAGATAAACAGTTGGCTCTGTGAACACTGGAACTACCAATGCCTGGGCTCCTGATAATTTTCTGCCTCATGGCAGAGTTCTTGCAGTTTTCTCTCCAGCTGAGGCATAAGCCAACTCTGCTCCTCACTCACATCATCTTACAAGGTCTCTCTCTTCCAGCCAGCTGCCTCTTTTCATGCACTTTCTAAGTACATAATCATCTTTGAGGCTTCTATCCCTTCTGTCAAATTGAGTGGAAACCTGCCAACAAGTTCAAAACTTGTTGGTGGCTTCTATCCCCGAAATTTGGCCAAAGAATAGTTATTTACATCTTCTCAGCTTCACTTTGCAATTCTTCTCAGAGTGTTGCACAAATGACTAATGGCAAACCTTCTCATGCCCAGTGCTGGGGTTACTTTTAAGCCACACAGCATCTTGCTTCTGCTTGTAGTTCATTGCTCTGTGCTGACAACCCCACCCAACAGTCTGACAACTCTGGGAAATCAATTCCTAAACTGATATAACTTAGAAATTCAGACACAAGACAACAAAAATTGGGAAGGAAAAGCGATGAATTATATTATGAGGGAATAAAGCTATGATGGGAAACCATTAAAATTCTCTGCAATGAGCCAATATTATTAGGACTGGGGTTACTGTCTCCCCCTTAACAGGGGGATGAATGAAATTCATCAAAAATTCAACAACTTGCAGCTGCAAGAATTCAAGCGTTTTCCTCAGTTCCAAAGGTTGTCATTTAAAGTTGCCAAATTTTGTCAACAGAACGAAAATCTGATTTGTATTGTGACAGTGCTGGAGGCTGCAATGATTTTTCCCTAGATTTGAAAAAATAACTAAACAGTGTAGCAGCTTTAAAAATGTAGAAAAGACACAAATTTGAAAGGTCTAATCCTTTACACCCACCTCAACGAGGCTGAATCATAACTTTGGCCCCTGCACAGAGATCCTGTCCCCTTCCACCTTGAGCTCCCCTGTTAAATGTATTTGTCAACCAATTTCGTGCACCATAAGATACACATAATGCTTTTAGTAGCCACCAGCCTTTCTCTAAAATGATACTATTCACTTCAAAAGTTGTCACAAATATGTTTACAGGAACGCAAATTCTCACTACTTTAAACATCAGAGAAGGAGAAAAACTTCATTAATAGCACTTACTTGCAACACATATAAGAAGAAACAAGAACAACGCTACAAGAAAGGCCAATACCAGTATATTACCACTGCCTGGTATTGGTCTGACACATTCTTTCTCCTTTGGTCACTGACTCAACAAGTCCCCAAGACACCAAAGGAGTATTTGATGGTATCTCCTCTAGAAATGCTTCCCAAAAAATCCCTGCAGATTTTCAACCCACTTTTTCTTTTTTCAAGATTTCTATTGTCTCTTCTTCAGCCCTTGCCTATTTAGCTGTCCCTGCTATGCCAAGCCACAGCTCCTGCACGTCACACGTCTCTGATTCCTTCCAGGACAGAGAACCAGAAGTGTAAATGCGATCCCAGACGGCTTTTGTATAAGTGTACCATTCTTTACTTTAAGCTGTTCCAATAAAAACTTTCCTGTTTGCATCAAAACCAAAACAACAGGTTCACAGCTCAGCCTCTCTCATCTATTACAAGGAGAAACCGACTTTAGAAATAGCTACAATGGGAACTCTGAGTAAAGATCTTGGAGAACACAAATTCCCAGCCCATGACACGGGCCAGCATTTACAGTGAATCATCACACAGACACTACCGAGAAGATTTTTGTTTCTCCATCTTCCTACTGCTTTACAGGCGATTATTCAAAGACTACAGTGCTCCCTTTCCCCAGCCTCAGGAAGATAGAATGTATCTTTACAGCAATACTCACACTTGCCTTTTTATCTCAGATTAATTGCCCTTGCCTTTCAGCTTTTTGAGCTGTGCAGATGTTTGATCATCAACAGAGGTGCTAAATACCAAGTTGTACTCTTCCTCGAAAAGCTTGCTGACTTCTTATGTCACCCGGAAAAAAATGACAAAACTGAGTTAGAAGGAATGGTAATGTAAGCATCATCATCAAACCCACACATTTCATAGGCTTGACAAAAAAAAAAAGAGTTGGAATGTCTGAATCACTATACCTCATATTTTTTCATTAACATATCCTGAACAAACCTTCCTACAAACATTTCACTCAGTCTACACATCTAAAATACTGATGCAGCCTCATCCCATCATTATTGAACCTGGCCCCAACAAACTCCAACTTGTTTCTGGTCAAACCATGAAGTCTGTGAATGGCTTTTGCTCACATCACTGCATCCTTCAGTGACTAAATTGTTTTACTCTATCAAGAGCCAAGAACGAAGGAATATGCAAGGATACTGCCAATACCCTAACACCCTCTGGGTCACACAGCCAAATAATTTTGTCAGTAGCACACCATGCATATTTTATGGCCAAAAAAGATTCTACACTATCAAGGCTTGATATGAAAGTTAAGCGCATATTTTTTGTGTTTTTACTGTCAACATCCCACTGGTCAAGAATAATAACTTTTTATACAAGTAATTTGATACTTCAAAAAAAAACCACTTAGTACCTCTTACTTTGCAACGATTTGCTAGGGGAAGAAAGGATTATTTACCCATTGACAAGGCTAATTTATAGTCAGGTTATAACATGAGGTCTCGCTATTTTAACAACAAAAAACCTTTCACTCTATAAGAATAGAGCGGGTAATCATAAAATCAGTCAAGGGATTTTCCATTGCCTTGGGGTGGAAGGAAGGTGCATCATCAATCAGGTACAATGCTGTTTGCACGATTAAGTTGTTGTTCTTAAAATAATCCCAGTAGCTTCAAAGTTAAGAAAGCTTCAGTAGTTTGGTGTTTTTGGTAGGGGGTCGCATGAGCAAAATAAAGCACTAAGTACAGATATGTAAAACTCACAATTATTCTAGGAAGGGGGAAATCCACTTGTTGAGAAAACAAGTCACGGTTCCTCTGAAAAGCTGATTTTAAAGTATTTGCATTGAAAATCAAAGTAAGAGATATAGGTAAACTTAGACCAGATGCTAAGCAGGTGATTTGCATTCATTTGCGTACATCTACCCACATGCCTCCGAAACTCCATCCGTAGGAGAACACACGGCAAACAACTCTGCCTCCAAAACGCTGCAAAACCGATTAAATTTCAAACAGCCCCAACACTACCTGTACTGGCATTTCCTGCTCCAGCCAGCCCGCCAGCCTCTGGAAGCGCTCCTGGAGCCCTCGCCGCGGGCGTGTGACGGCCGCGTTGAACATTAACCGCGGCTCGCTCCGAGCCCGCTCGGGCTCCGCGGCCCCTCGGCTTACACAACGCGCGGGGGCAGCGCCGGCCGCGGCCGCGGAGCTGCCGCTGACCCACACGCACGCACCCGGCAGGGAATTAACCCCGGCCGCCCCTCCGCCCGCGACGGGAGGAGGCGACGCTCCCGTCCGCCGGCACTCCGCGCTCCGGCACCGCGGTCACAACCGTGCCCGACCCCGGCCCCCAAGCCGACCCCTGCCCGCCGCGGCTCACCCCGTGCCCGACCCGCGGCTCAGCCCCGCTCCCAGCCCCGCCGCTGCCCGCCGACCCCCGCCTCACCGGCGGCTCCTCACGCAGCTCCTCTCCCGCCCCCTCCCGGCGGCGACTCCGGGCGCGGCCCCGCCCTCACGGCAACTTTTGCTTCCCCCGCTTCCCGCTCCTCCTTCGCTCTCCCCTCCCCGAGCCCGGCGCCGCCGCGCCTGCGCAGTGTGCCGGGAGCCGGGACGCTTTCCCAGAGCGGTATCCCGGATATTCCCGAGCCGGGGCCGGGAGAAGCGATTGGAGGCGGTGGCCGGCGCGCGTGCGCGGTGCGCGCGCGGGAAGGCGCGCGAGGCCGGGGGGCGCCTGAGGGGCCGCGATGGCGCCTGAGGCGATGGGGCGGGAGCGGGGCTCGGGTCCCCGCCGCCTGCCCGGGATCAGGGCTCGGGTCCCCGCGCTCTGCCCAGGGATCGTCCCGGGGCAGCTGCGGCGAGGTAAGGGGCTGCCAGGACCCCGCTGCTCCCTCCTCCCTGCCCGGTCACGGTTCGAGGGCACAGCCGCCTTCTGTTTGAAGGGCACGGCGGGCGCCCCTCAGGTACTCAGGTTTGGAGTTATGAAGCCATTAAAGCGAGCGCGGCGGCGCTTGTTTTTTCCAGCAATTGTTTCCCAGTTCTCGTTCCAGGATATCTGGCTGTGCACGTTGGCTTTTCTTGAGATGCCCATGGAATAGCGCTGGCACAGAGTGCCTTGTGAGCCAAAGGCCACACAAGTGTACATCCCCCTCAGAGTTGCGTTTGACTTCCATGCGGCCCAGAAAGATCCGATGTGATTATTACTTTATCTATCACCTGTCCCGGAGTCACTGCCTCAAAGTCGTGTTCCCTCTGATTTTTATCTGGTCTATTATGTTGGCCAGGGAGTGGTGTTTCCTTTTGTTATTCGAGATAGGAATTCCGTATCCACAAATGCTCACATTTCTAGTTGCTCAAGTACATTTTATATTGCAATATAATGATCTTTTTCCTGGATAAACATGTAAATTTCACTAACACATTTCATTTCGAGATTAGCAATGGTATTTTAGGTGCTACCGCACCCAACGTCAATCCTTGGCACATTCTGATGGATACAACTTGTATTTTTTCTCTTCCAATTGCCTTTCTGATTGCCAGTCTTCTAGGAATGGAAAAGTGCTTCTACGCCTAAGAGCATGTTCAGTTTTCCAACAGCGTATTCTGCAACAGTAAATGAAATAATTTCCCTGTAAAGTTCCCTTTCTGCATCTACTTTAGGTCATTCAGATTACCTCACTGCCTTAAATACGACATTTTTGTTGCTCTTGTATCCATTTTTTTTATAAGGGGATACATTTTCCTCAGATTACTTTTTGCTATTGTTTCTTCCATTATATTGCTAGTGTAAAAACCCCACTAGCAAAGCGATCTTAGCAGGTTCATCCTCCAATGTTTTTCAACAGCTTTTTGATTTGGTGATTTTTTGGCAAGATTTTAATAAAATGTTCCAGACTTTTGTCTTATAGTTAGACAGATAGCCACATTTAGAATTTGTGATATTTTTTTAAGGGAATTGAATATCTGATCCATTGTTCTAAGATTCGTACAGTATCCTGGCACCACCTTTTTGTGTCGTTCTTTCTTAGCTTTTTATTGAGAGGTTCTCACTAGAAATTTAGGGGTCAAAACATGTTGAAAGTCAGTGTGTTAACATGGCAATTAAAAATCTATTTTTGTGTTCATGCATCTTGTTATTGTACACTTATAAAAAGCATTCTGCTTATTATTTTGGGTAGTGTCAGTTCAGTCCTTGATCCTTGCATTACTTCTTTGCAAAGCCAGTCAAGCAAAGGCATCTGTGTGTCCCAAAGTGGGATTATGACCTCACTCTGATTATGACCTCATTTTGATATTTTTGCTTTCCCTGAACTCTGCTTTTCATGTTTGCCTCTGCCCTTTCTTTCAGCACGGATTTGTTTTTCGCCACTAATCTTTAAAAGTCCCTTAGGATTTATATTGGTTTCTTTTGTTCCTTTTTTTTTCCTCTCAGAGTAAGTGTGGTCTGTGAGCTTTAATTATAGTATATTTTAAGATTCTCTAGCAGTGAATCTTAGCAGAGCTTTCCACACACAGTTCAGGCAGAGGGTGACACAGGTGCAGCACAGGAAGCCCTAAATGAGGTAGCAGAAGAATTTTAAAATTAGAATAAATGGTGCACGTACAAAACAATGCTACCAGGGCAAATGATTTCCTGCTGCCGTTTGTGGCAGTGCAGGATATGTGCTAGGCATGGTGCAGAAGAATGTTTCTGTGGCTTGATGAGTACACTTTGGTATTATTAGTAATTGTGACACTGGAGAGTTAATGGGGAGCTGAAGAGGTGCTAAACTTGGAGGAGAGGGGTTGAAAGAGGGGCGTTCAGGGTGTGACACAAAACACCAAGCTGGGAGTGAAAGGAGGCAGAATTTATCCAGATCCTTAAGCACATCCATTTGGGAGTTTGCACATGTCCATTCCGGGGTAAAACACATTTCTGGATAGCTACATGCCAAAAGAAAAGTCTTAACATGGTTAGGAGACATCAAAATGCTCAAAGGTAATTGCATTAAGTATTTTCCCTCAATGTTGCAGGCATCACACATCATTTTCATCAATGACTGAGCTACAGATCTGTATTTTACAGATGCACACAAGGGTTTCTTTTGGTGTTACAATTTTCCTGTTCCAGGGTCACCTTTAACCTTGTTGCCAATTGCTGTTCTGTAAATAAATTCTGAATCCTTCCTCTGAAATAATTATATTGTGTCTTTTGTTTTTGGGTTTTTTTTTTAATATGCATTTTTCAATGAATTTTTTCATACCTGTAGCTGTACTGGAACACCTGTTCTCTAATTTCTTTCATATTTCTTCCTAATGCTTGGAACGTGTTTACAACAATCTTTTCAATCAACTGCTATCCTTTTCGTGTTCAAATGTTTCATAAAAAATTATGCCTGCTCTAATTCTTCTTGGAGGAGTAGAATACTAAAGTTGGTGGGGTTTTTTGAAAAATAGTTAAGCAATGTTTTATTGAGTCATTGTTTTTGTCATTGTTGCTCTTGTCTTCTGCGTGGATCTTTCTCTTTCTTCATGAGCTGTTAATCATGTGAAATCAACTTTGTGTACTTAACAGGAGCTGTGTCTGTACTTACTGGAGTATTTTGCAAAAAGCAAATTAGCAAATTAGGTGTAAGGTCTGAGGCAGAAAATTCCACAAAACAATGCAGAGTTTAAGGTGTGCTTTATTAGTTACATCTCTCTTTTTAAGTGTTTTCACTGCACTTAATTCAGCTCTACAGTCGGTTTTACTGGCCTATCATAAACAAGTTTTATGTGATCAAGTACCATTTAGCATTGACTTTAACTCACTTATGAGATAATGCCATTTTAATTGAAAAACACGTTTAATTCCAGTGGATGGGAACTGCTGTTGTGTTGTTGTGAAGTAATTACTGAACTCTAAAGAGTGTTTGAGGCTGTGCTACTCTTCCCAGAAGAAAAAAGGATGAAGAGAATCATTCTTCTAGAAGAAAATGTGATTTGAAAGATACCAGGGACACTGGGCCCTATTCTGCCTAGGCTGTAGCAGGATAAAGTTTCATTAAGTAAGGTAAGGGTTACTTCAGAATATGGGATTTTTCCACATTGTCTAAGCCTTTGGGATATTGTCAGATTGTATGTTTAAACAGTTCTGTCTGCAGAGGAGGAAAAAATCTTTCAAATTCCAAGATGTTCTTTCAGTTGCTTGTCTTCAGAAGCAATGCTTTTTGATTCAGTGACTTGCTCAGTGCTCTGCATAATTCTGCATAATTCAGGAAAATACCCTGATAGGATGGAGTGCCATAGAGGTGGAGAAGAACCAGAGAAGAACCAGAGAAAAGGTAAATAGTGTTTTTATTATTTGTGACATCAAATAGCAATCATATGAATTTGCTATGGGCTCTGAAGGGAAGCCCCAACAACACTTTAGCCCAAGTTCTCTAGGCTGTATGCTCAGCTGTATTGCCACGAAAAGATCCAAAACAAGAGCAGAACAAATGAAAAAATGTATGTTCAGCCTGCAGTAAGCTATGAGGATGTGTTTTCTTATGGGGAACTTCACCTAACTCCATTCTAGTGCTCAAATCTTCCCTACCACGAACACCTTATTCTCACAACCTTTCTTTTCAACACACTCTCACAGTGTTTTCCTCATGCAGTCTGTAGCAAGCAGTCACATGAAGCTTACTCATCCCATTGATCTCATTCCCACATCCTGCATAGAGCCTAAAATTTATACATGTAAATTGAGGACATTAGAAGACATGAATGAAAGAAGGAGAAAATGGATCCTGTCTGAAAAAAAAAAAAAAAAAATTGGCTTTTTCATCTTAAAAGCTCCAAGTGAAGCTTCAGAAGCTGTAAGAGTGTTAAGTGGTGGTTTATTTTAGCAAGGTTAAAAAAAACCTTGCCCTTCTGGTCAAGTTTGATCTTTTTTTTCCTCCTGTCAGTTAGCTGTAGACACTTTCATAGAGCACAGCCACCTTTTTTGAACTTTTCTTCTCGTAGGTGCAGGAATAAGCACAAGATACTTTGCTCTTATTCATTGTACATTAGCCTGACTATACGATTTTTCCTGGTAGCTTTCAAGGGCTACAATGTTCAGTGGGGTGGCAAAAGCAATTTCATTGAAGTCATCTAGGATTTC